AAGGGTCAAGATTTCATCAAAATTAGATGCACAAAAATGGTGCGAAAATTTGAGTGCAGAATGCAATCTGAGCCGCACGATGCAGGGAAGTTCAAGTGAGAATGAACCTTGGTGAAAGAAATAAGAATAAAATCTAGCCTTTGGATCTAATGCATCGTGCGGCTCAGATTGCATTCTGCACTCAAATTTTCGCACCATTTTTGTGCATCTAATTTTGATGAAATCTTGACCCTTAGATCTCACAATCTAAAGCACCAGATTCATTCTCATTTCTCTCCTAAGATTGCATTCTCACCAGAACCTATATATATATATATATATATATATATATATATATATATATATATATATATATATATATATATATATATATATATATATAGAAGTTGGTTCAAGTGAGAATGCACCTTGGTGAAAGAAATAAGAATAAAATCTAGCCTTTGGATCTAATGCATCGTGCGGCTCAGATTGCATTCTGCACTCAAATTTTGAGATTGTGCATTTTTAAACGATTATGGTGCATTTCGACATGATGCATTTTCAAACCATCTTGGTGCACCTAATTTTGATGCAATCCTAACCCTTAGATCTCCCAATCTAATGCACCAGATTCATTCTTATTTCTTTCATCAGATTGCATTCTCACCTGAACCAAAATATATATATATATGTGTGTGTGTGTGTGTGTGGCTAAATTTAACCATTAGTCCTTAAAGTTAATGTGTTTTGCTCGTTTAGTCATTCAACTTTATTAAGTCCACAAATATTCCTTCGAGTCAGACACGATAGCATTGCAGAGTGCCACAGTTGGTCTTTTCATTAACTTTGCCATTAATACATGTATGTTTTCCATTTTCTTAGGTACATGTGTGGAATTCTCTTTTTTTATACTCCCTACCATTTAGTCATATTTCATACAAGTCCATCTTTTATATAATAGTAGTAATAAGTTCCTCTACTTTTACTATGTCTAATTTTTTTAATAATACTCCGTAATAAGTTATTCTTGCTATTATTGGTCAAATTTTTTTATATACTCTTTCCTTCTTAAAGTGTGAGTGTAATTTTGACTTTTTATATAAAAAAAGAGTCAGTATAAATTTTTTTAATACAATTTTATTATACGTCAAATATTAATCTTAATTGCTTACAAAAAATCAAAACTTTACAAACACTTCACGACTCGGGTTAATCTTTGATGTAGAATTTCAACTAATATTGTACTGGGACACTTTAGGACATAATGAATATTTAAAACAAAATGGTCCAAAAAAATTGGATTAATAAAAGCAAGAGTAATTTTTTATTATTAAAAAATAGATCGATATAAAATACTTCCTCAGTCCCAAAAAGTCCGACACGTTTCGAAAAAATTACGTCCCGTAAAGTCCGTTACATTTCTATAAAAAAACCACTTTTACCCCTTATTTTTTCATACCCTACCTATCACATCATACCTTTTTCCTAATAATCTACCCATCACATCCTACTTTTACCCATCACATCAAGGGTATTTTTGGAAAGTCAACACCAAAATATCTCTCCCTTAATTTCCCAAAAAGTCAATATGTACCAATCTTTTTGGGACGGAGGGAGTATAACTTAATTATATGAAAAAGAGAATTTCATCACATTTATTTATAATGAAAAATTAAAAAAATAAATAAATGGATTAATGGTAGAGTTAACGGAAAGACCAACTTGAAAGTTGAAGGACTAACGGTGCATAGTACATTAACTTGAAGGTCTAACGGTGCAATTTAACTTAAAGATATTAATGGTAAAAGTGTAGCATTGGAAACGACATAAAGTCAAATGAGGATGAAAAAAGTGAATTTACCTGAATAGCACTAAAAGATAATGACTTCTCAATATGGGACCATATATGTTTATTTTCTAATTTGGATCGTTGGTCATTATCCATTAGTCATTATTCAAGTAAATATCCAGCATCACTAGATATTATTTCTCTCACTAGACATTATTAAGACCTATTTAGGGATTAAAAAAAGTTTAAGTCTTACATTGGAAAATGACTTATGTTTTAGTCGTATTTAGTGCAAATATTTCAATAAGGGATTGAAGGAGTATATATATGTACCTGCAATGGTGGGAGATGTGCAGAGAGCAATTGTTGAGAGGAAGTGTAGTTATTAGTTTGATTCAAGCGGTCACAGCCAATAGAAGGAGCTAGGCATGCAATGATGCGATCCCAATCTTCGGGGCGGCTAACTCCGCCCCGAAGCTCCGGGGAGAAGTGGTCGAGGCGGGGGTGATCATCAGAACCCCCACCGTACGGCGGTGCAGGGAAGTAGTAGCGGGCGGAGGTGATGTCAAAGCCGTATTGGATGGTAGAAAGAACAAAAAAGCACAAAACAAAGATGACTACAACGTAACAAACGCAGCCACCTCGTGCACAACGACCACGGACTGTGGCCATGAAGGCTGCGCAGCTAGCCACGCCCAGGATGAACACAAAGATTCCCCCAAGGAGGAATGTGTCAAGGAGGGGATTGATTCTCACACAACCGTTGTACAAGAGGGTGACCCGGATTACGACCAGGCCGACACAGAGGAAAAACGGCAGGGCAAACACTAGCAAATTTACGGCGAAGAGACATCTTCTGGTTTCTGCCATTTTCTTAACTATAGCTATACTAGTGATTTGATGCTGCCCGCTGATTATAACAATCAATGGATCGGAGCCCCAAAAAAAAAAAATAGTACTCCCTATCTTTGCACCAAAATTTGTACCCCAAACTTACACCAAAGTTATACACTAACATTTTGATGGTTCACACTGACACAAAGTGTTGGTGCGTTAACAAAAATTTACACTGACACTAAGTGTTGGTGCATTAACAAAAATTAGCATTACACCAGCACAAAATATTGGTGCACACCTGCGGTGTACAAATGGAGTACAAACCCTTGGGGTACAAATAGCTTTGTCCTATACATTATTGAAATGGCACGGAGTAATGGGGAAAAAAATGAAGAGTGAAGCTGTGAATAAACTGCCAATAACGTAACAACCATGCTACACTTACACCAAAAAGTGTACCCTAAAAATATATCAAAAGTATATACTGACATTTTGATGGTTCACACTGACACAAAATATTGGTGCGTTAATAAAAATTTGCACTAATATTTTGCGCCTATGTGAACTATCAGCATTATACCGACACAAAATAGAGATGCAAACATGGGTGTACAAATTGAGATAGTTTAAAGTGCCAATAACCTAACGCGGTTGACAGTTGGACAAAGACACTTAGGGGCTGTTTGGCAACTTCTGAATGGGTAAGTGCTGAACCAGTAAGAGGTCTGAACCATTAAGTGCTGAACCAGTAAGAGGTCTGAACCATTAAGAGCTAGTATATTGCTTAACTATTCAGAGGCAAATGTCTGATCAATTCAGATAAGAGGTCTTAACCATTCAGAATCTGTATAATACTTAACCATTCAGAGGCAAATCTCTTAACCATTCAGACATCTGAACCATTAAGAGGCTGAAACAAACAGTCTGAACCATTAAGTGCTGAATCATTCAGACATCTGAACCATTAAGAGACTGAAACAAACAGCCCCTTAGTCCGAGGGCGATCAAATACCATCTTGCTTTAATTATCTTTTTCACCTTTTCCATTTCTTTTCCTATACTTTTTTGCCTATGTACTCCGTAAATCATTCCTCCTCTTAAGCTAAAGTATATTTTCAAACTTTATTTTATGAGTTTTTTTAAAGGTTTCTATTATGAAGAGTACATATATCATACATCCAGATGTACGCTGTTTTTCGTATATCTGCATGAATACTCATTTTCAAGTAACAGAAAACTCATTTTTAAGTAGCTAAATACTCATTTTTGAGCATAACTGAATTTCCAAAAAATGAATATTTAGTTACTAAAAAATGAGCATTTGGATGTATGAGAAACACCATACACGATATATATTGTGTATTATGGACGGATTTAAATTTCACCATGGATCCTCTTATACAAGTATAAGATAATTTAATAAATTAGAATAAAAACAAAATAAATGCATATCTTTATAATATACCTTCGCCCCAGATTAATCGTCGTCTTATTCTCTTTTTTAGTCTATTTCAAAATTATTATCTCGCTTCTTTAATTACTTTCTTATAACAGAAAGAATATAATACGCGTGGCTCACAATCAGTCTCTTCTAATTTTTTCATTTTTTCCATTTTATTAAATCTTCTCCTACTTCTCAAATAAAAACTCTAAAATTAATGTCTTTTCAGGTATTATTATTATTATTACTATTATTAGTATTATTATTATCGTTGTTATTATTATTATTATTATTATTATTATTATTATTATCATTATGTTTATAACTACTCCGTATAATTTATAAACTATTTTAATTTTTATATTTTTATTTTTTCCTATATCATTATTTTTTTTGATTCATACTCATTATTATTTTTTATTCCATTTTTAATATAAACATTACAAAGTACAATTTTATTAGAAAATTTGTTTTTTATTAATTTACATGACACTAAACTATACTCCAAAATTTTTGGATGTTTTATTAATCTAAATTGACATGTGGAAACTCGTTAAAATTTGTTGGCACTTTGTCAGGGTGTAACAAATTATTATACCTTAAACTCACCCCGTATTTATATATCAAATTGTAACACCCCAATTCGTCTAAGTCTGCAACCCTTTCCGGACTAAGTTATTATATATCTTGGTAAAGAATTTTTTCATGTTCTTTCAACTTTATCTTGGTAACACCCCATCGTCAAATTGCAGTTTTTTCAACTTTTGTAATGGTTGTGTTGTTTGGAATTTGCACTAAAGAGAACTAAAACATAAGTCATTTCCCAATGTAGGACTTAAAAGTTTTTTATTCCCTAAATAGGACTTAATAATGTCTAGTGAGAAAAATAATGTCCAATAATGATGGACACCCAAACTCCAGCACACCCCCCTCGGCCCATTTCCCCTCCCCGCCGGTTTCCCACAGCCCCACCCCCTCCTCGGCCCAATCCCCCTCTTACAGCCCCACCCCCTCCTCGGCCCAATCCACCAAACATACAGCCCATCTTGACACCCAAGCTCAACCCACTCCCCTTCCCGAAACAGCCCCCCCTCCCCAACCCTCACAT